CTTAATTTTCGACTGTCTGCTTGGGAAGATTTCTGGAATTATTGCATTTGGACATCTGATCCCATCTTGTTGAGAATATGTTCGCTGATTCTCAGGCATTGAAGTATTTTGTATTAACTGTTTCTTTTGTTGTTTGGCGCTCTAAGTTGTGTTAGAGAAACTTTTGACTGTATAGCACAGGCTGTACCGTTTGAGGTATTTCATATTTAATTATAATTTGTCCTATTTCCTAAATTAGAACTGTTTAGATTGAGCACAGAGTTTGTGTTTTGATACAATTTAATACGAATGTCTAGAAAACGCTTTGTAGGCTATGCAGAAGAACGTAGTCTGGCCTATTCGAAAACATTTTGGCTCGTCAGTCCGGCGTTCAAACCGAATACTGGCAGTTCGGTCGTTACATACCTCATGTCAGACTCAATGCGAACCCGAAACCTGGAAGATTTCTCACCAATGGAGATAGACCCTGTTTTGACTACGAAATTCTGACTTCCAGAATTTGACCGTAGTGACCATGGGGTGTGGTTCGCTCAACCAGAGCATTATTTTACGAGACACAACGATCAAGATCCAAGACACAAAACATGCCACAAATGTTCGAACAATCTGAGCAGTTCTGCTCATACCACTGGAAGTTTGGTGTCAACTCAACCAAATGCATGCAACCATGCGCCTGACCTAAACAAAACCCCAAGTATATAGGAAACGAGAAACCCCTCCCCAGTTCGCGACGACTGAGGAGGGGCGCCTAAATAGTCGCTTGTTTTATGTTGGGGACAGAAACTTTGGCTTGATATTCTTGGTAGATATTGGCGCAGCTCTTAGTGTCAATCCTCGAAATAGAACTGAGCTGGGTCGAGAAACATCCCTAGCTACTCTTCAAGCTACCAATAAAACTAAAATCGCGACATTTGAAGAGAAGACTTTCACGCTAGATTTGAGGTTCAGGAAGCAATTCTCCTGGGTTTTGATTGTAACGGAATTAGATCTGGCAATACTAGGGACGGATTTTCTAAGGAGATACGAATTTCCAGGTGAAATTAAAAAAGGCCGCTTAACATTGAAAGAAACATCGAATCGCCCAAAAGGCAAAGAAAGTCACATTACATCTCTAAAATTAATACAAACTCCTCCAGTAACAACAGCAAAATTGGAAGATATACTCGCGAAATTTCCAAACTTAACTAGGCCACACTCAAAGGCCAACAAATAGTAAGTCATACGATGGAAACCGAAAGTGCACCTGTGTTTGCAAACCCAAGAGACTAGCATCAGATAATTTCAAAGTCGCTAGAGATGAATTTGACTATATGCTACAACTGGGTATTATCCGTCCCTCTGATAGTCACTGAGCATCCGCTTGGATATCATACTAAAATCCCAATCATTGGGCAGAATTCCTACCATTATTTATGTTGGGAATACGAATATCTGTCAGAACCGACTCACAGTGTTCAGCAGCTGGACTAGTTTTCGGAACGACCTTGAGAGTACCGGGTGTAGGATCCAAACTACGGTTTGGATGTTGAAGAATAGCCTCCCGTGACTTTAGACACGCGCCCTTTCCCGTCGAAATCAGAACAAGTAATCGGGTAACTAGCGGTTCTATAATTCATGATAAATTTAATGTAAATCATTACCTAAACAAATATTATCACCCGGCTATTCAACCAATGATTGTTCAATCAATTAAATCTAAATTACAATAAATAAAGAAGTTGATAGAAGATGAGGAAAAATTACCAATCACAACAAATGAATGTTATTCTATTCTGACTGGATAGATCACACACAACAGGAGGAACAAATCAATATGGCTACCGCCAAGAACAAGTGTCAAGTAAAACAACGCAGATGCAGTCCAGGAATAAACACAAACTTAGTGAATGCGTAATAAAAACAAAAACTATAACAAAAATACAAATATTAACAATTCAAATGTAATCAAAATACAACAATGTACAACTAATGTGATCAATAGGAATAAAGTACAAGTATATACATGGAGGGATTTTCACCAACACATAAAACCTTCAAAATGGATCTTACACCGGGTGAGTTTATTAACCATAGTACTAAGAGCAAAAACCTTACTTTAGAGAACTACGTAGACCGAATACGGGACCATATGTCCAGACTTAAACCAATTAGTATTCGTGGACAATGACAAGCAATATATGTAACTAAGGATCTAAGCAACTGAACTCATGTCTTGATAAGATGTGACAAAAGAAAGGCTCCGATTAGTCCCCTCCATTCGTAGGTCCTTTCAAAGCCATCTCAAGGAAATCTAAATATTTCATGATAGAGAAACATCGACTCTGTAAATATTGATAGGTTGAAACCATCTTATCTAGATCATGAACCACCATATTGTTTGTCAGACCTTTTGCCTGACAAAACATTTACGGCATCGACAAGTAAAAACGATAAATCTTCACAAGTGGCTAAAAAGATGAAGCCGAGTGAAGGCACACAGCCTATTACTAATTGTCACGTCCAAGTTTCTGCTCGTTCCTTTTATTGAAGTACGACATATCGATTTATTTGAAATTTAAGAACCCAAATTATCAATAGAACAAAACTCCAATTTAGGTACCAAAGTTCATTCGCAATTTACAAATAGTCGACCCAAATGTCGTTCCAACAATAATAATTATAATAGTTACAAAACCAAACTTTAATTTTGTAGGTTCCCGCAGCAAAAACTCACAAATACAAAACCAATAACAAAGAGAAACCAAAATCTCCGAAAATAATGATATAAACAAACAAGTTCAGAGTTTCAGCGAAACAAATACATCCAAAAACACAGTAAAATTAATAACATTTAATATAAAGGTGTTAATCAGACAAATATCTTCAGTTCTCCCGTGACACTAATTACCATATTTACTTCAAGTCAATTGATCGATTTTTGCTTACGTTACCTTGGTTTTATTAGTCTGTTGATTGGTGCTCACGTGTATTATCGTATTGTAACGTCGCTTTTTACTCAAAGCTTAATAACTCGACCTATACCAATAACTAGTTGTTGCATCTAATGTTAGCTAGTATGGCTCGTCAATAAGCTTTAGTAGCATTTACATGCTTCAGTGAAATAGAGTTTTTAAAACATCCAGCACCAGTTTATACGTAAATACGCGTTGAATAAGATTGCAAGAAAAGAACTGAATAGTTGTCTGCATCTAGTCCTTCATCTTGTTTCTGCACTTGACATTTTACTCTATCCAAAACTACTGATTATCTCTTGAGATCTTTTCTTTTGACTATAAACTACTTAATTTTCAGTCCAAGAGTTCCATTGCCAAACAACGAAAACAAAGATCACGAAACTTACCTTCAGTTTGGGCCATGGAGTTTCTGTATTATTAATATCGTTTCGGATTGGTCAAATGTTTAGAGCCATGCGTTTATCTGGACTCTGGATTTTTACTAAGAAAACTCGCCTGAACCATTATCGGAATTTGAATTATTTAGTAGATTTAAAGTATGGAGAGCCAATTGTCACATTGCATAGATCGAAAATGAATCACATTAAACATGTAATACTGTAACCAGTTTCTGGGTGAACGTGATGCCGATGATTTTCTCCCTTGGTCAGGATTGGAGGCGATCTATTAATGTGGATAACGGAGTTCCTAGTTGGGCGTCGATGGAGAATGCAGGTGGATTTCAAGTTGTCTAGCTATGAAATTGTGTTTAGTCGAGTGCTCCAGGGTACAGTTTTAGGGTGACTTGTTCCTACTGTATGAATATGATATTCCTCGTCTCATATCATCGTCGGTCTTGTGTATGCCGACGACGTCAGGATGTGGGAAGCGATTAAATGTAAAGGTAATAGTTCAGAGCTCCGAAATGACGTAGTGAAATTGCATGAAAAGTCTCAAACCTGTCAGTTGCCGATAAAAACTTCCAAGTTCATTGTGATGCACATTAATCTACAAGGTACGGATACACATACTGTGAAGAACAGCAAGCTACCTGTTGTCCAGACAAACAATGACTTAAAAGCCATTGTTAAACAAGAATTAAAAACTAGTGCACACTGTAGCGCGATGTCTTCAGAAGGTTTTAGAACTTTATGGTCAATAAGTAGGGCTTTTAGTCATGACGACGCTAAAATCTTTCTGACTTGGTATACAGTATTCGTGCGTCCGAAACTGGAGTACTACATAAGAGTGGCTAACCCCTACTTAAAAAAAGACAGTGGGCCTTTGTCAAAGGTTCACAAAATAGCAAATAAACTGATATCCGGAAAAGCGAAGCTCCCGTATGGTGCTCGACTGGCTAGACTCGTCCTAATGACATTGTCATATAGAAGAACTAGAGGCCACTTGGTTGCAGTTTTCAAATTACTTAGTGATAAGTTTGCATTTTATATGCCCGCACTTTCCTTGTTTCCCAAAACAAATAATTTACGAGAGCACTCCCAAAAAGTTTACAAACACAGGACAAATTAGTTGTCGGCTGATTTTGAACTTTCCCATCGAATCATCAAGGAGTGGAATTCATCAAGTAAACACTTGGTTGAATCCACATCTGTCTACTCTATCAAAAGAAAGTCGGATCAACTGAGAGACCATTTGTGCTAGGACGAACACAGACCACCTATCACCTTGTTCTTCCCAGATGGAAATTCAAACCACTTATATACTTATTTCTTGAAAGGATCATCTTCTCATAGCGCAAATATTATCGCCTTGCTATTTTTCACATGATAACAAACCAACCTCCTACCTGGTAATGTGATAGTTGCTGATATATGAAAGCCCCACTGCCGTGAAACAAGCCCATTATTCCTAATTACAAAATATACAAATCCACAAATAACTACCTAGCTGACTAAAATTAATGCAGTCTAATGGCTAGACCATCGTCTGTTGAAAATAAACACACACCTGGAGTTGCACTGAATAAAAAGAAACAAGAGCAAAAAGATCATTCGGTTTTTCAAGCTCATTGCAAGGATATTGAATATTGGATTGTTCAGATGTATTGTTTAAGACTACTTTCTAAACAACTCTCTTTCAAGACATGACGACACCCAATGAGCTAGCACAGCTTGACGTTGTTAGTAATGGAGAAACATTTCACCTGGAGGGTCATCTGTGTTCCCTTTCTGCCTTTTCCCATGTTCCTACACATCGGGATTTGCCGAAAGACAGAACATATTTTAACTCTTCTGAGAAGGTATATTTAATGTTTAAAACAAGGAAATCTTATAAAATAATATTTAGTGTCTTATCAGATGTGAAATCACTAGTTTATGAACTAGACGCTTTGAAGGCCTTAAACAGCTTAGCTAAGATGCCACTTGATATGTTGGTTATTCATGATGAATTCTTAAAAAGTTGTTGTTGCATCGAATCTAATCAACAGTATTGGGTCATAAATATATGATGACCAAAATTGATATCTTAGACTTCTCTCTATTTTCATTATCGACAGTTTATATATGTTTATAGCTTTGTTCTCATTTAATACCCAAACTACTTACGTACTAAAGTTTGGGCATTATATTCAAATTCACATAACATGCACTCTATGTTTGCTTAGAAGTGGTTCACCGAAACAACTTGCTTATTCTTAAACTGGTCTCCTAGTTTGATGACAGTGTTTTCTAATGTGTCAAGTATTGCGTTTTTTGGCCAACAACTTCTACATTTAATTACTTTTTGGATCGAACTGGTTAACTTGTTTTATTGTTCCATCAGTGGTTCTATAAAAACACGGGTGGTCTGAGATGATGTAATACATCCCACGAATTTATGCAATGTGATAATATCCACTCTTTTCGAACTCTATTTTTTATTATTAGTTTCCGTACTATCATATATGCTATTATTTTTTATAATGTACTGGCGCAAAGTACAGCATTGTAATCTAACCCTTGTTTTCCGCAAGTCACAAATCGTCCGTGATTGTCTGTAGATTTAACAAAACTGCTCCTATAGTAAACATTTTTGACATTAACCAACTGTGGCCCTAAAAGGTTGTGCTGAACGGTAACACTCATTGAGTAGCATATAGTCTTACACAAATTGAATTTATCCATCGAAACAATATTCAGTGTACTTTACAAGCGAGTTGGTCAGGCTTAGAAAAGAAGTAGTAACAGCGCTTGCTAAGTTATTTTAACTCCCTTTTTCTTCAAGTTTCATATTGAGATTAAAAAATTGAAACTGTTATATCCGGACGTGAATAATTGAATGGCTACGGTTAGAAATTATTTCTGAAATATTGTATATATAGTCTTATTGTATAACCGTTAAGAAACTAAACTACATACAGTCATATTCCTCTTATTATAAGCTTTTATTTGACTTGTTGGTTACCGTTATATGATTTACTAATCTCAAGTTATCTTCAATCAATTAGTCACATTTTCTCATAATCACAGCCACTTTTGGCTTGATCGTGTACAAATGTTATTTTCTATTTTGTGGTGTGATTTTCCCTGTATATAAACGAAGTATGTCTGAAATATATGATTCGTATCTTGAAGGATGAGATGAGCAGTCTGAACTTAACAGGCAGTGTTAAGAGGAAAAAGGACCAATCGGAACTCTAGACTCCATGTACTGGTGTATGCGTCATTAGTTGGATAGTATAAGTCATCATATATAAATGGGCAATCGTATTTTGCGATAGTCATATAGCTAAGGGCATAAGATAAACCATAACTTTAAAATCAAATCATGTCATTTTATTACATGAGTGTTCAATAAAAGTAATTTTGGAAGATTATTATTATTTTAGAAACAAGGAAATCCTTGCATATATGATTCAATCTTTTCTAAAGAGGATGATTTCAATCCAAAGCTTCATCGCAGTGATCGCAGGCATGATAAACTTATCGGATTGGAAATAAACCAAGAAGTGAGTTAAATACTACATATTTTTTTATGACGATATGTTCCAATATTGACTTCCACATTAGAATACATAATTTTGTTTGTGAGAAATTTCCGAACAAATGTCTGGCTGTTAGCGTTTATTGTGAAACATGCAACCAGAAGTAAAAAAACTGAATGTTGCATCTTATTCAACGACTTATTACTTCACAGCTGACTTGAAGTCAAAATATGGAGGCTCATTACCATTATATTTTCCTTCGAGTATTGTAATGGCACATTTTGAAGATATTCACAAACAATATATTTTCTTTAGGTTGTATTGATGCCATTAATAACTTCAGAGGAAAAACTGAATGTGTCTGATTTACCGATGGATTGAACTTTGGAATAATTTCAAGTGTGACCAGAGATAATCTTTAAACATCCAATTGCATATTTCACAGCTAAATAAAGTATCACGATCTTAAGTCCCAAACATTATAGGACTGAGACCGGCTGTTTATGTTCTATAGAATATATATTACGGGAAATCAGCTCAATGTGGTACATTATTTTCAATCTAAACTTACCTTTTATCTCAAGTGCATAAAAATTAGTTTTGTTTCTAGACTCCCGGAGTTACCGAAATACGTTTTGAAACATGATTTTCTGCTGTAATTACATACCAACTCAACTACACAATGTCACAAATTGACTGAGATTGAAAATCTAAATCACTATATTCTGAGTTATTTATCGTGATCACAACAAGACCTAAAGATGTGTAGTAGGCTATGGCACACCAGACAACTGCTTTTTAACAGTTTGAGAGCTTTTAGCAGTCCGCAATCACGAACAAATATTTAATAGAGCCTGTAACTTCGGAGTTCTTACGGCGCTGAATTGAAACCTATCACTCAAAGATTTTGCCTTTAGTCGGTGTCTTCGTGTTGCACAAAATTTCAAACGCTTTTAGTGGCCCGTTGATCTGACTCCAATTTATATTGTATGGATGTTTGTTATCGCTGATTCTCGTGTATCATCGTCGACTTGAATCGTGTTATCCAATAACGGAATTAAATAAGTCGAATAACGAGAATTGACTTGAGAATACATATATTTCGTACATGAAGCGAATGAGGAACAGCAAAGCAAAAATGACACGTATGGAAGATGGCTGGGAAGCCAACTCCATTTTAATTAAGCGTTACTCAATATTTATAGGCAGACAAAATAAACTACAGACATGTGATGAATCATGGGACATGAAGTGTACACACATATACGCTCATGTGAAAACAGCCAAGGCTAATAAGCGAATAATTAAGAAGGTCAAAATATGACTCGAGTAGAATGAATAGAATGTCCGAAAACTAGAATAAGGTATATGGGCTTAACATAGTAACTGACACTACACGCTACAGATAGACGACTTGCTCCCAGGCTGTTTAAAGACATTGCCAATCACGAAGAATTCCGTAGATGTAAAGGTTACTGTTGCAAAATTCGAATGGGAGCTATTATGATTAGTATTATCACACAGAGGGACAGGGTATACAGTGTTACTATGAAAATACACACATTGAATATAGTTCACATAAACCAATACGGGAAACACAATTGTTACATTGAACAAAAATTCAGATCTTCCAAACCAAAGTTAATATGAGATTAATGTAAGAAAATACTGACCTCAGAATATCACACTAAACGAAGCTCATTACCTGTCTCCCTAGCCGAGATTAGTAGGGAGTTGATACAAAAAATCACTAAGCCAAATAATTTCATCTTCTTATGTCGTCATATCTTAAAGCCCAATAATATTCATAACACAAAGGTGGATATCTATTGTTAAATGCTTTTGTCACATTCTTGTATTTACCTGGTGATTTATGGTGTGAGAATATTATTGAGTTCACTTCTTTCGGCTGTAGGAATTATAAATTCATAGATCAATTATGATCACTGATCACTTTCTGAAGGCTTAATTTATTCATTTGAACAAATAGCCAGTTTTATCAACTTCTGAAAATCTTCTCCATAATTAAAGCATCATTTCTAATTGTTTTTTCTATAATTATCAATATAGGGTTTTGGAGATTATTAAGTTTTTGATTGACGTTAGACCACCATTGAAAACCTAGAAGCAGTGAGCGGCCGTTTAATCTTATTGTTCAACTCCTCAGCCAGGGCGCATCCACGATCCCGCTAGCGAGATTTAACCTGAGGACATTTGGTCCCTCACGTGAACGCTTAATTATCGAGACCACTGAGCCAGCATACAGTGTTAATATCTAACGTCAACCAATCCATCAAATCTTACGACCATCTTCCATTGTACTCAGGTAGGTACCTGTCTCTCCCCGACACGGATTAGCTCCACTGGTCACAACTTCTCACTAGAACTCGGAGAATTCCCACACGAACCTAGCCACTGATGAGCACAGGAACGAAACGGTCGTCCAGTGCTTCCAGATTTTCAATGGTAGTCTAATATCAATCGATTCATGATCTTCATCTTCTATAATTACTGTATTTGTTTATTGAACCTTTTCAATTAAAATTAATTGATTTCATTATAGGAGAAAAGTAAAGATATACCAACACTTTCATCATCAATATATGGACATCGTTTAAATAAAAATATTGAAAATAATGATCGTAAACATGTTCGAATTATGCTAGTGGAAAGTGAATTTTATCGTCGTAATGGAATTAATTTATTATAATAAATAATACACTTCATATTTAAATACAATTATTTTTGTAGACATAATGCATAGAAACAACTCAATTGTGTATTAACCAATCTCGTTAGTATGTATAAAATTGTTGTTTTTTTGTTTTGCCAGTGATTTTTGTTTGATTTTACATAATATGAATTTGTTTTATTAAACTAGTTAAAAAGTTATCAATAAAAAATGTTGATTGAGATCATGAACTGTTTGATGTTAGATCGTAATTGAAAACCTGGAAGCAGTGAACGGTCGTTTCATCCTATTGTGGGATTCCTCAGCAGTGCGCAACCACGATCCCGCTACCGAGATTCGACCCGACGACATTTGGTTTCGTACGCGAACGCTTAACATCGAGAACACTGAGCCAGCATCCAGTGGTGTTAATGTTTAACCTCAACCAATTCATGAAATTGCGCAACTATCTTTCATTGTACTGAGGAAGATACCTGTCTCTACTTGACATAAGTTAACTCATTTCTTTGGGGTCCCATCGGCTGATTACAATCTATAAAATAAAAAAAACCCTAGTTACAAATATATTGAGATTACTTTCGTAAATGAGCTCATTTTGAGGGTTAGTTTGAATACTTAAAAGTAAAATGTGGTAAGGATGCATACAAATCTAAGAAACTAGACGAAATATTACTAAAAGAATTAAAATAAAATTCATTTTATTCTGCTCGAATTGTTGTTCTTGCTGTCTATTAAATATGAAGATAAAAATAGCTTCTCAGTATGAATCAATGTAGGTAACAATTATGTTCAAAACGGAAATCTTTAATTTTGTCTGGATATATGTCAACGTTTAAAGAAACAGCCATACAAAAATGATTCGTCGAATAGGTAAAAGCATCAGACATACAATTTTAATACAGTAGCTCATAGAATACAACAGTTTTCTAAATAAAAACTGTCTTGACTTTTCGTCCGACAACCTAGCTCTGGCTTCTTTCCGGAAATGATTAAGAGGAACAGCTTATCAAGGTGAAATAAGGTTAAATCGGATTCATATATATTAGTTGAAGAAACATTTAACACAGAAATCTTGGAACTTAGAACTATAACTCATATTTAGCTGGTCCCGATTTGAGTTTGATAAACCATCTTAAATCATATCGTTACTGATAGCAGATTATTACCGATTAAGTGACTGCTGTGCTATATCGCAAACTGAATTTATACAGCTAATAGAGAGTATTTGTAAGGGTTTGTAACTTGATACCCGTTATATAAGTTAATGACTACTCCTATTCAGAAGCTGAGTGAAAAGCACACTGACCTTTGATATGACAGGTAATAGGTTGAATCTCCTTGTGATCATCAAAACTAGGATCCAGATAAATCCATCTGACGAGCTTCAAATAGGACGGAATGTGTGTCCTGATTCTCGTCTTTAGTTGGGATCCAACTTCACTACAATACGGAAGATTGTCGATATTATTTTTGTGAAACTTAAAAGTTTTATGTGGTCACATTCAAGCATCAGTTGATAATATAAAGACAAAATTAAATAGCTACCCAATGTCTTAAGATTCCCGGTAGATCCGTAGCACATTTTAATTCCTTTTTTAAGATTATATGGTCTGAATCTGGGCAAAAATCCTTCCCATGGTCGACAAATTGAATCATTTGTTCTGACTTTCTAACACTGTTGAATTTAGTTGACGCTAACAAAGAGCTGTGCTGTGATTATCTTATCCAAAGTACACGAATCTATCCAGAAGCCTTCTGCGATAGAAAGGATAACAATTATGAAATTTTTCTTAGCTGTCAATGTTTTAGCTCGGTTGTGATAAGAGTTGGATAGGAATCCCCAACTACAATGAATGATCAACTCGCAATATCACGAATCTATGGACATTGGAAATACGCACAAATTAATTGAAGTTCAGTGGTCTAAATGGCACGATTGGGTCTTTGAGTATTGACACCTATGGCTTTTATCTCTATTATGATCGTGTTCATACTAGACCAAGATAGCTTTTCACTGGCTGAATAATTAGAGTCAGTTTATGATGAAAACCATATTCAGATAGTAACTGATCTTCCAATCCATATAATTACATGATTTATCTTTTGCCATACAACTTTATCGTGTCTATTATGAAAAATCCAGTAAGAAGAATTGTTTTTGGTTTCGAACTTTCTCCTGAACGTAAGTGTACGTCGAGTATTTTATTCGATTGGCGAACACTAAAATTAACTGAACGATTTATAACATTTTTCTCAGTAACTCACATTGTGTTATCACACTTTGTTTGGACGAGTTCGAATAATAAGATAATCATTTGTCCACGATAGGTGGTACCAAATTAAAGAACTCACGATCTTTCGTCACATAACGTATGTTATTTCAATTCCACTAATATATCAGTGTTCAGTGAATAATATGAACTTCGTTTATATAATCATAAATCAATCAATCAAATGTATTGTGATCTCTGAACCCAATATCCCAATTTTGGAGAAATAGGACAAAAACTCCAAAATTTTATTACATTTTTGGGAAATTCGTCTATTTATTTATGAAAGCGGAAAATTTTGCGCGATTTCGGTGGAATTATACAAAACGCCTCCATATTTTTCGACAGATATCACAGAAGAGCCTGGCGACTATAACTACCTATAAGTTTCTACTCAGGTATTCCATTTTTTCCAGTCAATTACACACAGTGAACGCACTGCCAAAGAAACTTAACGACAACCGATCTATCGCTGTAATTAAGACTTATTCGTAACACATTAAAATGTTTATTAAAGTTTAATAAATTACAAATTATTCATTAACAAATAACTTTTCCATTTCTCAGTAACGGAAGTACGTTACGTGGACGCTGAACTCTCATTCAAAATGTTCTAAAAAAACAAAAAACTTCAATCGTTAGTTAACAAAAAATGTCATGGCAACCAGCTAATCCTGAATATTATGTAAAACGTTGATGACATACTGACCGTAGCCTATCGTGATGACCCAACCGAGCTATATTGGCTGGAACATATGTTCCTGTAGGTTCTACAATGCCAGGCAGGTCGATTGGAGAACGGTAAGATTAAAAGCAGCAACTGAAGGTCTGAAAGCGAAGTCGTACTGCTGACAGCAGTAAGGTATTTCCCTCGGACAACCAGCATCTGCAGCGATGCTGTCTTCTCACAAGGATGGAAGGGGTTAGAAAAGGTCGACCCTAAAAATGCCACATCTCACTTTACCTCACGAATTTCCGTCTCCGGAGGTCAGGCCCTTTGAAGAACGGAGCTAACACATTAAAAACCTTCTACGAAAAAGCCGTGCGCGACCGGCCCCAAGCAGTTGTCCCTTGCGCTCTGCGGTCACGCTCCCAGGTCGTTAAGACCAACACTAATCCGACTTCCTTTTCAGGTTCCTCAAGAAATACCCTTCCAAGGTGTGGGCAGCTGGGAAGTGACATCAGCCCCCATACCCGTAACAGCACACGAGACCAACTTGGTCACACTCAAATCCTTCCTACACCTCCTCATACCTCTCTTATCTCCATGACTAACCCTCCTCACGACCCTTTATCACCTCGCACCGCCAGGGCAAACGATTCCAGTACGCCAAACGTTTTTACTGGTCTCCTGAAACCACGCTCTAAACTACATGTAGGAGCTTTTAACGCCCGAACACTGCCAAATAGGACAACAGGCTTCCTTAGCTAGGACTTTAGAATCTCGCGCCATCGATGTGTGCTGCGTCTCCGAAACGAGCATACAGGATCCGAGTAGCGTCATTCATTTAACCTCACCATGTCAAAGTAACGAAACAACTCGATTTACGATCCGTGGATCTGGAAGCCCTGATTCTGCTTCCCGTGGCCTCGCTGGCGTAGGTATAGCATTGAGTCCTAGAGAAGAACTAGCTTTCTTAGACTGGATCCCAGTAGACAGTCGTTTGTGCGCTGTCCGACTAAACGGAACAGTAAGGACTCGGAAATATAGGGACTCTCGTCGTTGCCTCTTCGTCGTCTCTGCCTACTCTCCCACTGACTGCAGCTCAGATGATGTAAAAGATGAGTTTTATAAAAAACTTTCCGACCTTCTCCGAAAAGCTAGGCGCTCTGATGTAGTAATAGTGGCTGGTGACTTTAATGCTCAAGTGGGTAAACTAAGCGATAGGAAAAGACACCTGGGTAGATCTTATGTAGTCGTGGCTCAAAGAACAGATAATGGCGACCGTCTGTTGCAGCTATGTTCAGATAACCGCTTGTTTCTTGCAAATACTAAATTCAAGCATAAGCAAAAACATCTTTTAACATGGCGACCCCCTAATTCGTCCCAACGTTGGACCCAAATAGATCACATCGCTATCAGCCACCGATGGAGGGGCTCGATAGAAGACTGTCGCTCATTCTGGAGCACATGTTTAGATTCAGATCATGCTCTAGTACGAGCGCGTATCTGTCTGCGTCTTACTGGACGTAGGAAAGACGCTGCAAGGAAACCTCTTAGGGTCCTACTTAATGATAGTCAAGCTAAGAGTATATTTCAGGAACAACTAGGAAAACAGTTAGGCAGCCATGTATGTGATGCCCACCCCGAGGCAGCATGGAATGATATCCGAAAAGCTGTGGAAACAGCAGTGATATCTGCCAGTAAGGTAACCCGTAAGGTTAGGGAGCAACACTGGATTTCAGCAGCATCTATCACACTGATAGATGCTCGGAAACTCACCCCACCTGGCTCTGAACATAGTGAAGAGCGGAGTCAGCTTAAGCGCAAGCTGACAAGAAGTCTACGCAATGATCGCGAACAGTGGTGGGTAGCGAAAGCAAGAGAGATGGAAAAGGCAGCGGCAATAGGTAATAGCAGACAATTGTTCAGACTCGTTAAGGAAACCGGAATTAGGAACCCGACCGTTAGCGAAACAATCTCAGAGAAAGATGAACATATTATACATTCTCAATCCAGGAGATTGGATCGATGGGCAGAACACTTTAGGGATCAGTCCAACTGGCCTTCAGCCACACGTCGGTTTCCCACGATCTCTAGTCAACCTGAATGGCAGGTTAATGTAGGTCCTCCGTCTCTTTACGAAGTTGAAAAAGCCATAGGAAATGTGAAACGAGGGAGAGCAGCAGGCCCTGACAGGTTTACTCCTGAGATTTTTAAGGATGGTGGTCCAGTATTAGCAATGAGATTAACCGAGGTCTTAGGTAGAATTTGGGAACTAGACGTAATCCCATCTGACTGGTCTCAATCACTGATTGTGCCAGTCTATAAGAAAGAACAAAAGTCCTCTTGTGACAATCACAGAGGAATCAGTTTGACCAATATAGTGTCTAAAATATTAGGTTCAATAATACTTCGACGCCTAATCAAAGCTTGTGAAGAGCAGGCTAGAGAAAGTCAGGCTGGTTTTCGACCTGGACATGGTTGTATAGACCAGATATTCACACTACGTCAGGTTCTAGAACACAGACACACATTCGGACGCCCCACAATGGTAGTATTTCTCGACCTTAAGGC